CGGCAGGGAGGGTCCGGGACCTGCTCCAGACAGAGCTGGGGGAGAGACCCAGCTCCACATATTGCTGGAGCAGGGCCCCCGGTTCTGTAACTCGTTGGCGGTTCCGGGGTGCGGAGCCCCCTTAGGCGCGGGGCCCAATTCGGCCGAATCGGCTTAAGGCCAGCCCTGGCCCCAGATGTAGAAGTTAAAACTGAACTATTCAGGGAAGTCACTGTTCTGTGCAGGACTGTTCTGAACTTGTAGCCACAGAAAAATCCCTTTGTTAGGTTTGAAGGACTGATTCATCCCAGACCTTTTGTTGGAATTTATGGGTGAGCTCTGGCAGGCTTATTTGCATGTGTGTAGGGTTTCTGTGTTGTTTTTAACATGTCTTTTATGTAATGCTTTCTGTTTAAGAATAAATGTGCTTGCTTACAAAGAGCTGTGTGGTATCTAATAACTGCTGGCAATTACATTGCTCACAGCCTTCATAGTGAAAGCCAACGGCAGGGACTGGCCTATCTAGGCAGTCTGGCTTGCAAGGAATATTAGGATGTAGGCAGGGAACTACACAGCCTGGCAAAGAGACATGGGTCTCCACCCAAGAGAAGTGAAGGCTGAGGAGCAAAGAGCTTTTACAGTGATTGCCTTTGGTGGATGATGGAGGAGGAATTTAGGAGCAGCTGCCCTGAACTGTGAGCATTCCGGGAACGCTTCTAAAGCACTCAGGGTACGTCTACACAGCAGTGTTACTTTGGAATAACTGCCATTATTCCGAAATAACATAGTCCACATCTACACAGCCAGCCATTACTTCAACATAATGTCGACATAATGTCGAGCTGGAGGTCTTACTCCGACTCCTGTAATCCTCATTGTACAAGGAGTAAGGGAAGTAGAAGGAAGAGTGCTCTCTCTCTCGGACTTCCTGCTGTGTAGACAGCGCCAAAAGCCAAAATAAGCTATTTCGACTTAAGTTATGCAATTGACGTAGCTCAAATTGTGTAGCTTATTTTGGCTTTAGCCCTGCTGCGTAGATGTGCCCTCAGTCACTTCTTCACCAATGTAGAAGCCAAGCTGTGCAATTAGTTGGCTGGACAACAGCCCACTAAAACCAGAGCCAGGTCAACTTGTTTCATACAGGTCACCCCAGAATAAGTCCCCATTTGTTATGAAACTGGGCTTGGTGGAGACCAGCAACTTGCAGCTGCCACTAGGCTTGCTAGTCTGTTAACACCTCCAGGGCATTTGCTCTCCCTCCCCAATGTAACATGGTCAACATTTTCCCTACCACAGCAGTACCTTAATTATACTAATTCTACCTTGGTTAGAACGAGACTATATCAGGGCCGCCCTCTCTTCCTATGGATCAATACATAGAGCAGGAGTTTATACTGGGAAGATTTCTGCAGCTTTTCTTTGATTTTTTTTTAAAGTGCTCTCATCCTTTGCAATGAGATGGACTCATTGTCTTGAGTTCTGATTTCATTGGGCTTTTTTTTTTTCTAGAAAAGAGATGTGTCTTCATATTTGCAAAGTGAAAGTATTGTTTTTGCGCTTCATAAATGTGCACATGTCACAACAATAATTATCTCTGAAATGTAGCAAAACATGTCTGCTATTGTTAAGCTCCATAGGGAACCCTGTCTCCTGTGCACACTTTACTCCTTGCTGAATACTTCTAAAAGACATTGTTTTTTATATCTGTGATGTTACTGGATTTTAATATGAACACGTGGATCATTGTTGCATGCCCTGTTGTGTGTTTGCCCCAATTTCTGTGCAAAGCGAGATGTTAATTGAATGCTTATGCTTTGCTAATTCTGTTTATACCATTCATATACCTGTGTGATTTTTGTATGTGACGTTATGAGTGTGGGCTCTGTACTGGTATTTCACATGTTTGCTTCTGAGAGACTGCAACAGGCATCGCTCACCTATTGTGAAGGGTGGCAACAGAGTGAATCGCATTACTCCTC